ACATGTACGTGAATGAGCACTAGTATTTCTGAAGATTGAAGTGGCTGTGAATGCATAATGGGCAATCAGACGCTAACTCGCCAAAGTATATTTATCCCAAGTAGGTCCCAGAGCTTTAAGCTTAAGCCTTGGCTAAGGTGAAAGAAAACCTAATCCCCGGAATAATGGTCATACGTGGAGGTTGTGAGGCAGGGCTAAAATCCCCGAAATCATTTTCCACAATGTATATTGCTATTCATAAGACCACGATCGACCAGCCGCATCACTCAGCTTAACAGAAGGCTGATGGCTCCCAATACAGCCATGATAGGCGCATGAACACTATTCTCACGTGAGTTAATGTTGTGACGGAGAGTTAGCATTGCTGCCTGACTTCCCTGTTCAGTACCCACTGCATCAAGGTCACGCAACTTCGCAGGGACCGCTTTCTGACTCTTGGACCGCTGACCATTGGCTGACTTCCACTTGCACACGCACGCGCTTCCAGATAGTCGCTATGCACGATACCCCCTCGGATAATGCAACGCCCCAATCAGAAAACACGTGAACTTGCTCCACAATCATGCAAAAGCTGCTGCCACCACTGTCTCACTCTCTTTCTGGCATGACTACTCACCATCAACACTTGCCCCAGCTTCACGGGTGGTCACTGCTGCCTGAGACAGCAAGTGTGAGTTCTGTACACAAATAAATCCCTCCTACCGGTGCATTTCATAAAACCCAGAATGTGGCCAGACGATTGCAGTGATCGAAGTACTCGCATGGTTTAGTGTCCCACACACTGGTGACCCCGACGCAATAGAAATACGCAAACTTCAAACTGATTGTTATTTAAACTAAAATAACTGTAGTGACATAAACCGCGACGTTTGCTGTAATTTTGTGTCGCTTTCTGACGAGTACCAGTGCGCAAGCACTAGTGACAGTCAAGTGTCTGCACTTCTTGAGTTTTCCATGATATACTCATGGAGCTTGATCAATCACTAAAATCGAAAGGATCTGTGTGGTGTCCAGTCAAGCAGTCCCGGACGAGCATGACGTGACACTATAACGTTTTCCACCTCCCGCGTCATGCCACGCATGAAGTCAAATGATTCCCACTCTTGACCCGTTTATGGGACGGCCAACCAAAAGTGCCGGAAACTGCGCCAACGCTCGATTCCTCACGGTGGCTAAATAGGTGCGGACACACCAATCCGTCTAGGCTAATGATATAACAAGGCCGGCTCAAACAAAAACCATTCTAGACGCTT